AATTGTACTGCCGCTGCTACCTGAGCAGCCTCCTAGCAGCTAAAACCAGACTCTGTAAGTTTCGTGATCGGGTCGGTACACATAGCCCCACCTATCCCCTGCCAGCGGAAGAGTGCGACCTGCTTTACGGCATACGTCACATATTTTACTCGTAGCCTGGGTGGAGTTAGCGAACAGCTAACTGTAAGACCAACGCCATGGCAGAGCGAGCAAAGAAACCAAAGAGGGTTTTGTCGGAGGAAGCTAAGATAAGAAAGAGAGAGAGTGATCAGACACGAGCCCGAACACGAATTAATCTTGGACGGGCTTACACTCGGTGGCGCGAGCTGAAAGAGGCAACGGGTTGCAAAACGGACAGAGACCTAGCCTTCCTGCTACTGGATTTGTAAGTCTTATATGTACATTTTTTTTTACTGTTATGTACTTTTGAGCTTAGTTGTTATTAGGCTGTGTTCTGTAATTTATAACCGTAAGGTAGCCGAGAGGTAAGGTAATGTTGCCGGTCTCGATAGCTTGCACGTTATGATCTTTCGATAGCTAGCATGTCGTGCCTCGTCTCGAATTTATTTACGACACTGGTAACAGACAATTGCGCTTATCAACCACATGGGGGAACCGTGAGCAAAAGTTACATAGTGCTGCTTTAAAATAAAAAAAAAATGTGTAATTTGATATTTAACACCACCCACTAAAATATTTAAAGTACTATTTCCATGGTCATGCAATGTCTGATTTTAAAATAGTTTTAACAGGATGAATTTTGAGGTTTTTAAGCTTTTAATCTTCAATGATTACTAAAATATGTGACAGGGAAAAAAAGGCAATAAAAACACCAAAGCGTAAGGCAATTATCAAAGTCTGATAAAATGTTTGATTTTCAAATAAAAAAAAAAGAAAACATTTTAACATGATTTCTTACATTTAACAAGATATTTGCAGATTTTGAGCCAGGATGAAAATACTAAGACCGTGCAGCCTTATCCCATAGCTTGTTTCTGATGATGTATTTTCTGACAAAACATCTACAGACACCCACAATTCACTGTAAGCTTCCCACCAACTGCAATTCTGACTCCTAATGGAACAGAAATAATGGCACGGTGAGAGAGACGAGAGATAAAAACATGAAGAAGAACTGAACGTACCTGTTTCGCCCCACAGTGTGTCGTGGACATCAATCTGCACCTCCAGTTCATTATTCAACGTCAACAAGCCTTCCAGCACCTGCCAAAACACCAGCTCACTTCAATCAAACAATATTAGAACAGAAGAGCAATGAAGAATCCGATACGGGCTGAAAGCAGGGTCATTAACGCCATGTGTGGATAAAACCCGGCTTGGCTGAAGTTACTCTCCAGTGGCTGGGAATTTAATGAGGAACTACAACATGTTACATGATGTTATAAAATTGATTTTAGAATGAGAGTCTGACAGTCGCTCAGAGTTATTATATTTAACTAAAACTAAACCATAAAAAACATTTGTGCTACTTGAAATAAAATTGCTAAATGAAATTAAATATAAAAAAAATTATGTTTTATAATATGTTATATATATTTTATTTCATCTGTTTGCCAAGGCAACATTTCACATTTTTAATAAATAAATACATACATTTAAAAATAAATGAAAACTTTTAAAATGATAAAAATACTAATAAAAGTGACAGAAACAACTAAATTAACATTAAACTAAAATGATAGAAAACAGAAAATATAAAAATAAAATCTAATTAAAAATATTAACAAAAACTATAACAGTATATCAATGTTTCTAAAATAACACTACCGCTGCTAAAGTGATTTAAATTAAAATCATTCACGCTGGGTCCAAAAATAAGGAAAAATGCGAGGAAGAAAATGAAATGGTGTCATAAGGACAAAGAAATATATTTCATAAAACTAACAGTTTCATGGCTGGTTCATTTTCTCATTTGACCCACTACTGGCAAGATTAACAATAACTCTCGACTATCTGGGGCGATCCACAGGAAGTTGAATGAATAAGGTCAGACTGAAGCGTTAGGTGGTTAGAAAAACAATTTGCCCTCATAAAAGTTAAAAACGCCCCTGTAAATATTGCACCATGATAGAAAAGTGTGTGTGTGAGCTCACATGAATGTGTCCCATACTGCAGGCCGCGATGAGCCCCTGCTGCAGGGCTTTGTTCTTCAAGCTCAGGTCCTGTTGACCCTCAGTGCTCCAGCTCAGCTCCAGCAGACACTTGATGACCTCTGAATGACCCCGCAGGGCCGCATGCACCAGCGCACACTGGCCGCTCTTGTCCACGTGATCCACCTGACCACAAACCACAACATCAACACTGGGTAAATGAATCAATATGCACGCAAGTCTAGTTTTGATAGGAAATACATCTCAAATATTAGTCTTAGGTTAGAGTTATTGATCAAAACGGACTCTGTTTACTTTCTTAATACCAGGGTTATTATAGTTAACTAAAACTAAAACATATTTACATTACTTGAAATAATATAATATAATAACATTTCTCATTTTCATTTAGTTTAACTTGACGTACTAAAATGAACTAAAACTAATAAATAATTAATAAAAACTATACAGACATACTTAAAATAAATTATATAAACGACAAAACAGAATGAAATTACTAGAATTTTATCGCCAAATAAAGTGAAAACAGGAAATGTAAAAGTAAAATCTAATTCAAAATATTAACAAAAACCATAATAGTAATAAAATTATACTAAAATAACACTGCTTTATAAACGGTATTGTCAATGTTTCACTGGTGCATATTATTTCCAATGCCACATTTGCAGATTCAATCAAATGAATAGATCAAATAAAGTCCTGTCCAACTATTTTTTTGTTAAAACATCTTGTTTCACTCAAAAAGTAAAATGGATTTTTAATGACACTTCATGTTGACATTTTTAAATTATAGTTTAATAATCATACAAAAATGAAATTGTAAATATGAATCATACAAAATGCTGATAAATTAAATATATTTGTAATTATATTTATAAACGAATTTAAGTATAAATATATACCGGTATTATAAATATAAATGTATGCACCACTAGAATTTTTAAGTTTTTCAAGTCTCTTCTGCTCAACAAGGCTGCATTTATTTGATCAAAAATACAGTAAAACAGTATAATTTTTGACATTTTTTTTTTACAATTAAAAATAACTGTTTTCTATTTGAATATATATTAAAATGTAATTTATTCCTGTGATCAAAACTGAATTGTCAGCATCATTACTCCAGTCTTCAGTGTCACATGATCCTTCAGAAATCATTCTAATAATACTTATTATCAATGTTGGAAACAGATGTGCTGCTTAATATTTTATTAATTAATTTATTTGGGAATTTGTGATATTTTTTCAGGATTCTTTTATGAATAAACAGCATTTATTCAAAATAAAAATCTGTTTTTTTTTTGTCAATGTAACATATTCTTGGCAAATAAAAGTATTAATTTCTTTCAAAAAAAAGAAAGAGAAAACACGTACTGACCCCAAACTTTTGAAGTTGTATAGTGTATACATACAAAATATTTAGATTTTAAATAAATGCTGCCCTTTTTAACTTTTTACTCATCAAAGAATCCTGAAAAAAAAGGTATCTGAAAGTCCAAAAAAATATCTATATATCTGCACTGACCTTGGCTCCTCTCTTACAGAGAAGACCGACCAGCCCCAGATGACCAGCGGCCGCTGAGTAACACAAGGAGCTCATGCCATTCTCTGAAACCACATCCACGTTTGCGCCGAACTCCAGCAGCAGGCTGACCGTTTCCTGATGGCCCAGGTGAGCCTGGACGCAGAGGACCGGAGCGTTGTTCAACACCTCCGTACGATAGTTGACATTCGCTCCACCCAGCATCAGCAGACGGCTCACCTACAGACAGATACCAGACAGTTTAGAGACTGACAAATGATGCTAGAGAGCTCAAACTGAGTCTGAATCAAGAGCAAGAGACATCATTCACCATTGACAAAACCAAACCAAAATCCCTAAAATCGAGAGTGATTAGAGCTGTCGGTTGTCGTTTATCTTCCTCCAGCCCACACATTGTGTCTTTCTTTGTAAAACAATGCCTCATCCTTTGTTTAAAGTTCACTAAGAACAAACTGCTGATTGGTAAAGCATGCTGATCACAGTTCACGGGCTCATTAAGTGCTCCGGCGCGCGGCAGCACATTGTGTCCCAGTCATTAATCAGCCTGGATTCTGCTTTTGATAAGCGTATGAACAACAAACGTTTAATCAATGAAGTTTAAACTCATATGGTTTAGAACACATGATTTCAGCGCGATAAACACGATAATCAGAACCAAAACAGATGTTTTCAGCAGGTACAAGATGTAATGGTGCAGCTCTATTCTGGAAAAGGGGGCGGGGAGCAGCAGCTCATTTGCATTTAAAGAGACAGGCCCGAAAAACAGCGTGTTTCTGCTTCCACTCAAAATAGGCATTTTCAAAATGATATTATAAATGATCTGTGGAGTATTTTGAGCTGAAACTTCACAGACACATTCTGGGGACACCAGAGACATATATTACATATTGTAAAAAGGGGCATAATATGTCTCCTTTAAACTAAAATCCATCATTCCAGCTGATAATTGCTCTGGAGTCTCAGTACAGCGTTCGTCCTGAATTACACAAGTCCAGCTCAGAGGAATCATCTGGATGACTTTACTCTTTAACTGACCTTTAGATTATTAAATTAACACTGAATCTAAAAGAGTTGGATAATTACTTAAAATGCCACGTCTTCTTTTCAGCGTTTATCTTTTTATAATCTTCAGATCAAATCGATGGATTGAAGTCATGCAGCACTAATCTGACAATTAACAGCGGATTTTAAAGTCTGATCAATACAGACATAACCATGACACTGTTTTGCATTACAGTAATGAGAAACTGTCCTCGATGGTCTCGAAACCTGCTGCTATCAAACTAATCAGCGCCCGGGTCATTTCCTTTTCATTAAATACAGGAAGTCACTGAAATACATTCACGTCTATTATATACACATGTGTGACCCTGGACCACAAAACCAGTCTTTTTTTTCAAAATTGAGATTTATACATCATGAGAGAATAAATAAGCTTTCCATTGATGTATGGTTTGTTAGGATAGGACAATATTTGGTCGTCAAATTATTTTTTGCTATTGCTACAAATATTCCCCAGCGACTTAAGACTGCTTTTGTGCTCCAGGGTCACAACTTAATGAATAAATGAAGTGATGTGTCTGAACGCTGGACTTCAGCAGTCCTAATGATGACATCTCATTATAAACGCTTGCACAGGGAGCTGTAATGTCATTCAACAGGGTACAGGACTCGTCGTAGGGGTCAAAGGTCAGCGAGAAACTCTACATTCTAATTGGTTCTCTATGAGTCATCAGTGTAGATACAGTTACGCATCAGCAGCAGGTATTATATGAGGAAGACAGCTACAGACAGTCTAAAAGTAACATTTTGAAATGTCTATGGAGAAAATGAATGGGAAAAAACATCTGGAAGCAAGACTATGTGCTGACCTTGACATTGGGTGTGTAGAGGTTCCTAAGGGAAACCAAAGCAGCAGAAAGACCATCAGTACTACAGCTGATCCATAAGGCTTGAAGAACACTGGACGACACACCGGTCTTCTTACTCAGACCCTTCAAAAGAGCACACACAAATACAGTATTGCCAATATTACATCATAAATATAAAAATCATTATTACAGATGCACACTACCGGTCAAAAGTTTGGGATCAGTAAGACTTGTAATGTTTTTTAAAGAAGATAAGATTAATTTCAGAAAAAATGTGCGATTAATTAGTAAATTTTTTAATCGATTGACAGCACTAACATATTTGTCTGGCTTTGATCAGCACTGCATCTCCTCTACATTAAACTCCTTTCTTTTCTCTCTTTCAGCAGCCGAATAACAAGGCAGGGAAGTCCCTCTTTTTCAGAGCCAACTTTTCTAGACTGGACCGGGAGAGGGTTCAGGGAGGAGAGTCATCAATAGGACGCCGATGGACCAATCAGAGCGCTTGGACACACCGCAATGAGAACAGGAGAGGAACAGAATTACAGATAAACTGGAGTCCAAGATCAGCATCAGCATCTCTAGAAAATGAGTAATGAGTGCTGTTTCTTATCATGTGTTGTCATATTTATTGCAGCAAAAGGAAGTTTCTTTCCTATAACAAAAGAAATCTCTCTCTATATATGTATTTCAGTAAATCAGTATACAAGTAAAATAAAAATATAGAATTATAACAGTATAATTTATTCATTAATTTATGCATTACATAATATAATTATAAATTAATTCATTTATAATATGCATTATAAATTGTATAATATATCCTATTATAATAAATATACACATAAACATATACATACATACAGTATACATAAGAAAAAAAGTAAAAAAATTATAATATGTAAATATGTCATTTATCTATTAATCAATTATAACAGCATAATTTCTTAATTATTTAGACATCAGCCTATTGTAAAAAAAAAAATTATATACATGTGTAATTTATATATCCCCTGAAAAGATCACTACCTTGTCGTGGTTTGGGGGCTTGCGTGTCTCAATGACCCAGAGAGCTATGCTGACTGGAGCCGTGTTCTCCTGCTAGGGCTACCCATGTCAGACAGGTCAAAGGGTAGAGACCAGACTAAAGGCCAAAGTATACTTCGGCCGTCCGCGTCCGCGCACCGTCCGCATTACGTCATTTTCGTCATCAGGAGGGCTCGCGGACAGCTGCGCACCCCGTCCGCGTGCAGGCAATTTTTTGAGACCGCGCAGACGGTGCGTGTACAACAGCGCATGCGCAAGGTGAAAGTTGAGACAGAGCGCAAGTCAAGTAGGTGGTACTGCGCCTGTGTCGAACTTGTCCGACCGCACTCATCCGCGGTTGAGTATACTTTGAAAGCTGCGCGGATGCGGCTGTGCACAAGACGGAACGGAACGCGGAAAGTGAAGTATACCCGGGCCTTAAGAGTGATCACTGGCCCTCCAGGTTGGGGGTTGGACACTGGGCTAACAACCCAGTTCCGGAAAAAGACAGATGTTATGGAAACAGCAACAGAAGAACCTAAAACTACTTAATGGGCTAGTTAATGGGCTTTCAGAGTCATCGCAAGAAACTCAGATGAATGACAGTGGTGAAAGCTCAAGGGAAGCTACTGCCAGGATGGTGGAAGTCCTGAGCGCCAAAACCAAGACCAAAATAGGATTTTGGAATGTGAGGACAATGTATGACACAGGTAAGCTGGCTCAAGTAACATCAGAAATGAGACATTACAATTTACATATCCTGGGAGTTAGGGTAAGGATCAGGAAGACTGAGAACCAGTACAGGAGAAACAATGTTATACCCAGGAAGACATGACAATTAGTACTTTGAAGGAGTAGCCATTATCCTTAAGAAGGGTATAGAGAAATGCTTGATAGAGTGGAAACCTGTTAATAACAGACTCATTAAGAGCAGAGTGAGAGGGAAGCAATTTAACATGACTATCATACAGTGTTATGCCCCTACAAACGACAACGATGAAGATGTAAAAGACCAATTTTATGAGCAGTTACAAGCTGTGTTGGAGGAAACACCAAGACATGACACGAAGGTTGTGATGGGAGGCATGAATGCAAAAATTGGAAATGACAACAAAAACTTTGAAAGAGCCATGGGAAGAGAGGGCTGCGGTACCATGAATGAAAATGCGGAGAGACTGATAGAACTCTGTACCACCTATGATCTCGTCGTTCCTCACAGAGAGATTCATAAGATGACCTGGTACTCTCCTAATGGAAGGGACAAAAATCAGATAGGCCACTTGATGATTAATGGTACCTGGCGAAGATCACTCCTGGATGTCAGAGTTAAAAGGGGAGCCGACGTTGGCAGTGACCACCAAATGGTTGTAGCAACAGTGAAAGTAAAGCTGAGGAAGACAGGATGCAAAAGACCTGGAAGACAACAACTAGATGTGGAGAAACTACAGAACCCCAAAATAAAAAATGCTTTTGTTCTGCAGCTGAAGAACAAATATCAAGCCCTTGCAGATATGGAGGACCACACACAGCCTGAACAACAAGATGTTAACTCCAGGTGGGAACATATCAAAGCAGCATATCTCCAGAGCAGCGAAGTATGCCTGGGTACCAAAGAAAAAAATGGATCACAACAGGCCATCAGTACCAGGAGAAAATTGACGAAGCAGCTCTTGGATGCTAAATCAGAGAGACTGAAAGAAAGATATAAGCTGAACTACCAACAAGCAGATAGAGAAGTGAAGAGACTGGCAAGATCGGATAAAAGAGCGTTCATGGATAGCCTTGCAAGCCAGGCAGAAGAAGCAGCTAGCAGGGGAAAACAAGGAAAGGTATATAAAATAACCAAGGTAATCTGTGGCAAATATTGTGCAATTAGAGACACACCAATCAAAGACAAAAATGGGCAACTGCTGACATCAGAAACGGAAATTGACTATCGCTGGGCTGAGCATTTCAGTGAAGTCTTGAACAGGCCACCACCAACATCGGAAGCTGACATTCAGGAAGCAGAGCTTGGTCTTGACATCAGTACTGCACCACCAGAGAAGGAAGAAATCATTGAAACCATAATGTCCCTTAAAAACAAGAAAGCCCCTGGACAGGATTATATGAATGCAGAACTGTTCAAGGCAGATCCAGAGCTTGCAGCCAAGATGCTTCTCCCGCTCTTTACAGCAATATGGAAAGAAAAAGAGATACCAACAGACTGGTCAGAAGACATCATTGTGAGGATCCCCAAGAAAGGGGCCCTTAGCAACTGCAATAACTGGCGTGAAATAACTCTTTTGTCCATACCAAGTAAGATCCTAACGAAAATCATAATCCAACGACTATCGTTGGAAATATGCAAATATGCATTTGACCAACATCTTAGAGAAGTACAGGCAGGGTTCCGGAAAGGAAGAGGCTGTACAGATCTGATTTTTGTAATGCGGAACATCATTGAACAGTGCACAGAATGGCGGAGGCAACTAAACAACAACTTTGCAGATTTTGAGAAAGCTTTTGACAGCATCCACAGAGACAGCCTTTGGCGCATCCTACGCTCATATGGAATACCACAAGACATCGTCCTTCTCATCAAAAGCTTCTACAACAACTTTACATGTAAGGTGGGAAATAGCGAGCATCGTTTTCATGTGAAGACTAGAGTGAGGCAAGGCTGTGTGATGTCGGCATTCCTTTTTAACATTTCCATTGACTGAGTGATGCGGAGAACTACAGAAAACCAGTCAAGAGGTGTGAGATGGACACTCTTCTCTAAACTTTGCTGACGATCTGGCTTTGATCTCCCACACACACCAGCACATACAAGAGACGACATACCATATTAATACATATGGGTGATTCTATAATTGGAGATACATTTGGCATTGCAGAAAGTTAAGAAAAAAAACTTTTCACTAACACATTTTTTTTTCAGTATCTTATTGAAAACATATTTAATTGTAATAATTCAGTGCTTGCCAAACACAAGTTACTTTCTTTTTTTACTTTTAATGAAAAAATAGATGTCTTTATGGTATTGTTTGTCAACTCTGTTACGGACAAATTAGCCAATGTGTAGAAATAACAATAAATCATAACAGGAAAAATCCTTCTTGTTTCATTAGACAAACAGTCCTTACATTCTATCACTTGAAACTGAGATAATATTTCACTAATGCATACCTTTAAAATAAAAAAAATACCTATGTCTTCACAGAACCGACCACTTGGAGCAAATATTTTTCATCTGAAAATGTATTATATACAATATCCAGTTAAAAAAAGAAATGTTGTTGAAATAATTATAATGGTGCAAAAATAAATCAATAATGTTTATTAGGATTTTAAACA